GAGGACCCTAGATAAACAAGACAAAGCAATGTTTGTGCATCTTGATGACCTAAGATAATTGCCCATTTATAAACAACTCGGCTCAATATGCATATCTTCCAAATGCAACACTTGACGAAAAAGTACCATACTTAGTAGGCGTGCACTTAGTAATGCTTTTTAATTGAAATTTGAGACCTCAATGTTCAAGTTTCAAAAATGTATATCACTGACAAATTAAAATAAACTAGTTTTAACAAGTGAAAAATGTGCGGTTTTCCTATTTTAATATTGCAATGAATGTTAATTCTTCAGTTAATGATTGAATAAACTCATGGCGAGTTCTATGTAAATAAAATATCCATAGAAATTTCCGTATCACATCGTTAGATATTTGAGCTTAACAACTTTAACAAAATATTGCAATAAAAATCATAAATATGAATGCTGGTAACGACTGAGTAGTGGATTCACGCATCCAGCCTTGTGTCACATCTAAGCTATCATTAGAAAATCATTGGGTACTTCGATGTGGTCTAATGGTCTCGCTAGATCAATTATGACTGAGAAGTGATTTCGATCCTCACTTGGTGTCCCATACATTCGTCATTGCGCCATATCTAAGCTACCATTAGAAAATCATTGGGTACTTCGATGTGGTGTAATGGTTAGGAAGTTTGTCTCGCTAGATCAAGTATGACTGAGAAGTGATTTCGATCCTCACTTGGTGTCCCATACTTTCGCCATGTCTAAGCTATGCTTAGAATGTCATTTAGTCCTATCCTTCCTGGGTGCCTAACACTTTCAGTCTTGTTTTTATTCTCTTGAATCCGTCAATCTATTCATTTTTGTAATCCGTATCAACCTCATCAAGGCAGTAAAGCCACACGGGATTCCTGAAAAATCCTGGTCACTAAATTTACTCAAAGATGAACTGGGGATTCCTGAGAAACACTGGTCATTAAATTAACTTAAAAGGAAACGCAGTCTATCTCTTCATCTCCTAAGGATGTGCGAGAAATCGTATTGCTACACATATGACAAAACTGTAAATGAAGATGATTATGATGAGTGTCAACTAGAAATATTTATATCAGTAGTTTTATTTGTACTTTTAATCTCAAGTAAAACAGATGTTCCTTCAGCCTACGTCTCAGGCTCTTCATTTCTATCTATCTATCTATCTATCTATCTATCTATCTATCTATCTATCTATCTATCTATCTCAGCCTGTCCATATCTATCTATCTATCTATCTATCTATCTATCTATCTGTCTATCTATCTATCTAAGGCTATTCATATCTATCTATCTATCTATCTATCTATCTATTATCTATCTATCTATCTATCTATCTATCTATCTATCAATTTCAGCTTATTCATATCTATCTATCTATCTATCTATCTATCTATCTATCTATCTATCTATCTATCTATCTCCGTCTGTCCATATCTATCTATCTATCTATCTATCTATCTATCTATCTATCTATCTATCTATCTATCTATCTGTCCATATCTATCTATCTATCTATCTATCTATCTATCTATCTATCTATCTCTCTATTTAAGGCTATTCATATCTATCTATCTATCTATCTATCTATCTATCTATCTATCTATCTATCTATCTATCTATCTATCTCCGCCTGTCCATATCTATCTATCTATCTATCTATCTATCTATCTATCTATCTATCTATCTATCTATCTAAGGCTATTCATATCTATCTATCTATCTATCTATCTATCTATCTATCTATCTATCTATCTATCTATCTATCTATCTATCTATCTAAGGCTATTCATATCTATCTATCTATCTATCTATCTATCTATCTATCTATCTATCTATCTATCTATCCTTTGCATAGTTGTGAACGTCCGGACGTAATTTGTCACATGACTGTATTTGAGATATTTTCCAATAGGTTCTATACTTAATCCGAGTAATTGTACAGATATTATAAACCGCGGTTTATATGGGTCAGCACCGATGTTTCACTAATAATTTACTGCCTTTACATGAGATCTGACTTCTCTTTACAAGCCTGTATTTATTTAATATCTGGGAAGAGTTTTAGCAGAGAAGTGAAAGGGCAACACTCAAATATGAAGGTACATTGGAATAGCGAAAGATGAATTCCAAAAGTTAAGCAGAGTATTAAGAAACAGAAAAACAAGGTAAAGAGTACTAAACGTGATATCTGTCCTGCTCTATGGCATTGATTCCTGGGCAATCTCCTCGAAGTTGAAGAAGAGACTTGAAGCAACAGAAATGTGGTTCTACAGAAAGACGCTGAGGATACCATGGACAGAAGTTATGATAAACGACCAAGTTCTAGAGAAAATGGAAATGAAAAAGATTTTTTGATCGATACCAAATCGATTTTCAATAATTGTAGGGGTTTTCTTATTTTTACCAACATCAAATTACATTTAAAAATTACTGTGTCTAAAGTATAAAAACTAATCCAAATTAGCTAAAGCAGCATCGTTTTCAACTGAATTTTCAATGTTTTCAAAACTTAATAAAACCCCATAATTTTTTAATATAATTATGTGTAAGCTGACGAAATTTGTTAAAATCAATATTTTTTGATCGATACCGAATCGATTTTCATTAATTTTAGGGGTTTTCTAATTTACCAGCACCACATTACATTTTTAATATTATTGTGTTTAAGGTTTAAACAAGCTAGAGTGAAGATATCAGGGTCATGATCACCGACTTTCTGAAAAATATTTGCTTTTGAAAGATTATATTTTTTTCTTTTCTCTTTTTCCTTTTATAGCCAATAGCAAAATATATAAACAGTTCTTTTCACCTCACTTTCGGCTCCAGTACAGTTAAATCGTAAATTTGTTATGCCCGCATCGGATAAATAGAAATTTTTATCTCTTTATCTACGAAAATTGTACATTTTTTTCGCTTTTGTTCAAACACTATTTTTTTTTAATTCGGAGCTAATCTTTTGATTTACTTTTACATCTGATTTGTATACACATTCCCCCTCTTCCTGTGTCGTATTCATATCTATCTATCTATCTATCTATCTATCTATCTACAGTGCCGTTCGATAAAAGTGACTTACCTTACTTTTTTTTTACTAAATGTTCTCTTCTCCGATGAAACGAAAGTTGAGCTAAATTCAAAGGATAAGCGATCTAAAATCCGAAGAAGAAGCTTTGAAAGCTCTTTGAATTTAGCAGTAAGTACTGTCAAGCATCCGTTCAGTATAATGTTCCGGGCATGCTTTTCTTTTCATGGAACTTTGTTTCTTGAAACCTATTGAAAAGACCCTCAGGAGCGAGCAGTACAAGAGAATTTTAGAGTCTTGTCTGCTCCCTTCTGCTGAAAGGGTGCAAATCGACCCCAACAAGCTCATCTTTATGCAGGATAATGCTCACTGTCACAAATAAAAAATGATGAAGGAATACTTTGATGAGAAGCAGGTGAGTGTTATGACATGGCCGCCCCAATCTCCTGACCTCAACCCCAAACAAAACTTATGGAGCATTATAAAGTACAGGCTCTCGAGAAAGCAATTGAGCAACATGCTGCATAAGTTTTCTATGGTGTTGAGGTCAGGAACATTTAGTAAAAAAAGTCAGGTGAGTCACTTTTATCGAACAGCAATCTATCTATCTATCTATCTATCTATCTATCTATCTATCTATCTATCTATCTCAGCCTATACGTATCTATCTATCTTTCCTTCCATTATTTCCTCCATCCGTCTCATTCTTTCCTTCTTTTCTTACACCATTCCATTTTTACCTCATTCCCGCCTTCCTTTCATTCTTTCTTCCGTTTGTTTCTTCTTTCTTTCTTTCTTTCTTTTCTTTCTTCATTTTATCAGAAGACGTAGAACCGACTCAGCAGAAACCTTCGTCACGCCAAGTTCACTGTGCAGAATATTCTCAATTCAAATCACAGGATATGCTAATAGCATTGGCTGTTTGATTTATAGTCAGTCACGTGATTTATAGTCAGTCACGTGTTCATGTGGTGAACACGATCAATTTTTTCCTCGGACCGTCCAGAACATGAATCACGTTTAAGATTCTCCCTTCCTTTAGCTACCCAAAATGGAGCGTCATCAGTAAGGTAGTAACCATGACAGCATGAATGTCATTAGAGGCTGAACCCTTTTTGATGCAGGTATTTAATAATACCACGATGCCAAATTTTACCCGTTTTCATGAGAAGTCGCTACGAGTTACTTTTGAAGACTTCTTTGACTTGATTTGAAAACAAGACTTGTTTTGAAGACTCAGATTTTAGTTTACTTCGAAAGATACAATGCAGTTATTTATAAAGAGTGTTGGAATTAATTCATGTAATATTTCACATCTTTAGCATTATTCCGTCATTGTCAGCCTATGGACTTTTCAATGCAACTTCGTATTCTATATTTGCTGTTTCATCACATGTATTTATTTAACCAATTCCGCTACATGTATGCGAACTTCCTAATTTCACCACATGTATCCTTTCGGATCTGGTTCAGTAGAGTTTTTCTCTTAATTCTAAGATCGCCTTTGATTTGAAAGCTGATATTTTTGTTTCCTTATCCCAAGAGGCGTTTCAGTTAAACAAAATTGTCGTTCTTCTTTTCTATCAGTGTTTGCCGTGGAGCTATGATGAGTTATCAAGGTTCGTAGAACATTCATGACGACAGTGAGCACGGTCTTTATTAGGTGCATATTATTGTGACCACGTGTCAGACATCGCTAAGTTTAGTATCTATCTATCTATCTATCTATCTATCTATCTATCTATCTATCTATCTATCTATTTTTATTTTCTGTTTATTTTCTTTCTTTCTTTCTTTCTTTCTTTCTTTCTTTCTTTCTATTATGCAATGTTCATTATCTATCTGTTAGTCATTGTTCATTTCCTGTCTATCTATCTATCTATCTATCTATCTATCTATCTATCTATCTATCTATCTATCTATCTATCTGGCAATCGGTGTCTATCCATTATGTATCTATCTATCTATTGAATAAAAACTATTTAAATCTGTAGATTGAAAAAAAAAGAAAGTTGGAGCAAAAGAGGGAGAGAAAGAGAGGGAGGGAAGAGAGAGATAGAGTGGGAGAGCAGACAACGAATGGGGTTGAGGGGAGTGGTAGTAAGAGAGAGAGAGAGAGAGAGAGACAGACAGACAGACAGAGAGAGAGGAGGAAAAGTATAAAAAAACTAATGACTGTAACTGAATAACATTGACAAAATCTACAAAGCAAGCGTTAAGAAATGCGTTAGATAAAAAGGAAAAAAACAACAAATACAAAGGCAAAAAAAAAAAAAAAAAAAGAAGTTAGATAAGGCGAAGTTGAAATTGGATTTCAACTTTTGCGCATTTCTCTTTCGGTTTTGCATTAAATTTTATATCTCCTGGGATGGAATGTATAGTTGTTGGTCCGAAGGTTAAAGAATGTCGACTGATTTTTAATGGATTTGATCACGCATGCGTGCACACAAGAATCGGGAAAGTGAAAGAATGGATTGACAGATGAGAAAGGGAAGTAAAGCCAACGAGGGAGTGAAAGAGAGATGAAGAGTGAAAGACAAAAAAGAAGAGAGGGTGTGATTCAGGTTGACAAATTAATTCGGGAGAGTACACGTATAGTATTTCTTTTTGTACTACATAAATACGTAACCACAGATACAGACACTCTGATGAGAAAAGGAACACACACACACACACACACACACACACACATGTATATAAAGGGTGTCTCATTAAGACGGATCAAAGTCAGGAGTAAATAAATCAGTTTTATTGGTGAAAATTTCTTTATTTCTTTATTGGATCATGTTATTTAGGTCATGACAATTATGTGTGAAAAATAATATCGCCAAAACGTCCGCCAAGTCTGAAAGAAAAAGAAAATAAATCATTAGACACTTAAATTTAATTCATATTTAAAATCGGTATAAGTTATTGGAACACCCTTTATATATACATTTACTAAAGAAAGGAATGGAATTTTATTTATTAATCTGTCAGATTTTTATTACTTAAACGTTATTTTTCATTGATACTCGTATTTGAGTAGACGCCCTATTTATTTATTAAACAGTATATTTATTTTCGTTTACCGATCTGAATATTCGAAAAGTCATATTAGAAAAATATGCGCTCTCCGAGAGAATATTTTTTACAGTTTATACATTAATTTTATAGGTATAATTTATTTAAGTAAATGCACTGTTTTTAATTATACAGTATTAATTACATTTACCGGCCTGAATGTTCGAGAAATTTCGTAGAAAAATGCGTTTTCTGATAGAAACCGTCACTTGTGTCTGACGTGCTGTAATTCGGGCTTTGCTTACCAGACGTTTCTCTCTAGCTGAATGTCGGATTAAAAAAAATTATTAGTTCTTTAAAAATGACACACACATACATATACACACATATACGAGGTCTGTTCAAAAAGTATCGGGACTGTTGTTATGGTAACGGAGCTGAAGTACGCAGGGTGAAGCCACTCGGTGCAGATTGACCTTGCACACATGCACACTAAGTTATAACATTCACGGTCACTTCCGTTGATGATAGCAGATCTTGGAAGGAAAGTGTGTAGAGTGTGGTCGTTTCAACACGCCACAGATCTTTCAGCAAAGAAGCTTCATCAAATACGTTTTTTGGCCCAAAACAACATTTGTCAGGTTTAACAACCACCATATGCTCCAAATCTCGCCTCTTGCGAATTTTTCCTCTTTCCAAAAATCAAATCCCACTTTAAAGGGACAAGATTTCACAAGGAGACAAATAGTGAAAATAATCCACCACATCGCAGAATGAGGACTCGAAACCCGTCTCCAATATATTACGGTGTTTATTCAGGGCTTCACTTGCGCGGTCGGGGTAACTAGGCGGCGCTTGGGATGACATGTTGCCACTTCTGACATCTCAAACTAACAGATTAGTGTTTCCATCTTAACTTTAATGGGCGAGGTTAGGACTATCCCGAGGGACTGCCTGTCGTCTTAACGGCGGTCCAAAACTCAACTATTGATACTTCGTTCCTATCAGTGACAGTTAATATAAGCTTGAGATTGGAAATCATCAGAATCCGGTCTTCTTGTCACTTGTTCCCCAAAATTTTCATTTCTATCTTTATTTATTTTGTTTCAGTTAGGCGAGTAGTCGCTTTGAAGACTATACCTCACAGACTATATCGCTGGCCATAAAACACGAAACACTTCAGACTGAGGTGGAATCTCATAGCATCCTCTTCAGTGTAGATGCCCCAATCATAGTGCCATACGGATAGTACGGAGAAAATATAGATTAGCGCTACAAAAGATAAGAAGTTATGGAAAGTCATATGTGATCATGTCCTGAAGGGACACAACACATAAAAGAATATATTATGTGGATGTATGAAAACCTACCTACCTATATTTATCTATTTATCTATCTCGCCACATCCCTGCTTATTCTACTCTGATTTAAATTTTATCACCTTTAACATATGCGCCTCAGAATTATAGGCGACGACGAGACGAGCAAAGTATTTTACAAGTACTGGGATGAGATAACGTGGTTTTTATCTTATCTACGTGTTTAATTATGAATAAATTTTTCTGCTCTGAAATTATGAATAAATTTTTCTGCTTTGATTATAACACTGGCATATCGATCGATCGATATATAGATAGAAAATGAGTAGTTGCTGACAGATATATCGATAGCCAAACAGATAGATAGATAAGAATAGGCTGAGATACATATGGACATTCGAAAATAGATAGATAGATAGATAGATAGAAAACGAACAGACTGCGTACGCATACATAGATACATACAAATTATGTATCTATCTATCTATTTATCTAAGATAGATACATACAAAGAATATGAACGGTGACTGACAGAGAGAGAGAGAGAGAGAGAGAGAGAGAGAGAGAGAAAGAAAATGAAAAATAATTCATAGAAAATGAAAAGTGAGTAACAGATAGATAGATAGATAGATAGATAGATAGATAGATAGATAGATAGATAATAAAAAGTGACTGACAGACTGACAGACAGATAGATTGATAGATGGAAATAGAAAATGAACAGACAGATAGATAGACAGATAGATAGATAAGAAATGAACAATGACTAACAAATAGATTGATAGATAGATAATGAACATTGCCTAATAGATAGATAGATAGATCGATAGATAGATAGATAGGAAATGAACAATAACTAACAGATAGATAATGAACATTGCATAATAGATAGAAAGAAAGAAAGAAAGAAAAAAATAAACATAGATAGATAGATACTAAACTTAGCGATGTCTGACACGTGGTCACGATAATATGCACCTAATAAAGACCGTGCTCACTGTCGTCATGAATGATCTACGAACCTTGATAACTCATCATAGCTCCACGGCAAACACTGATAGAAAAGAAGAACGACAATTTTGTTTAACTGAAACGCCTCTTGGAATAAGGAATCAGAAATATCAGCTTTCAAATCAAAGGCGATCTTAGAATTAAGAGAAAAACTCTACTGAACCAGATCCGAAAGGATACATGTGGTGAAATTAGGAAGTTCGCATACATGTAGCGGAATTGGTTAAATAAATACATGTGATGAAACAGCAAATATAGAATACGAAGTTGCATTGAAAAGTCCATAGGCTGACAATGACGGAATAATGCTAAAGATGTGAAATCTTGCATGAATTAATTTCAACACTTCTTATTAATAACTGCATTGTGTATTTTCTAGATATACTGACATCCGACTTTTCAAAGAACGCTGTTGGTCAAAAATTAATCAGCAGCAGATATGACGTCATCATCACCGCGATACAGGTTCCTAGCCAAGTGGTTTTCATGGTGGGGAACAGATGACAGTCAGATCAGGAGAATAGGGAGAATGATCAACCAACCTCTTTATCCACTGGGCCATGATGATAAAAGCGTTGGTTAGACCCAATGACTAGACCCAAAGATTTGTGAGTTCAGTACCAGGCCACAGCAGTGGTGAACCAAGACACTTGGAGAACTGAGTTAAAAGGGAAATAACTGAGACATCCGGAAGAGGCATGGCACGTGGAACTAGATCAATCTACCCAGGTGTACAAAATAAGAGGTTAGGTTCGACGTTCCAGTCACCTGAAGAAGGCTGTAGCGTACAACGGCCGAAACGTTGTGAATATGACAATGAAGATGAGGATAAGCGTTCGAATAATGTAAATAATACAGGTAATAATAATACCTTATCTCAGAGATATAGACAACTACGTTTTTATTTCACTCTTTGATTGGATGCCCTCCCGATATGGATGATTAAGAGGCACGGTAGAGTAATGGATAGCGGAGTTCGAATTCCAGTCGAATCCATTACATTCACTTACGTGCTAATACCCTTGGGAAAGGTGTGAATCCTCTTCTTCTCCCTCCAGCTATGGGTAAATAGCAGGACAGACTGGGTTCTATAGCCTTGGATGGCAACTGGTCTAGGAGAAGGAAAACTCTGAATTCAAAACTTGCGGAGGGTGAATGGAGTCTCTCTGAGCCTTGGTTGGCAATCCATTTAGTGTTGGTGTCACGATAAAAACACCCTTGATAGCCCTAGTGAAGCATCAAGAATTCAGCTATTTGACAAGATTATGAACTACACCAATCAAAGTATTAGCTATGACAGATAAGGAATACTGGAAAGGTGTAGTGAGTTCAATCTCGGCTGAGGCCGCAAAAGAAGAAAGAAGAGATGGATGATCAGGGCCATTGCACCATCTGCCCCACTTTCTGCACACTACTGCATGAATGTACTTTGGGAGGGGGAGATAAACGCTTTTTCTGCAGGTATTGATAGCACCACGATGCCAAATTTTGTCCATTTTCTAAAGAATCGCTACTAGTTACTTTTGAAGTCTTCTTTGAACAGTCAGATGTTATATTTATATTCTTTTCTTTTTTTTACCCTTTTCTTCTTTTCCTTTATCTTCTTTAAAGAAGGCAAACAATGTAACAGTAACATAACACGTCATCTAATACACAAACCCGTTCTAGACATACAAACATTGTATATATTCTTTCTTATATGCACACTTTAAATCTCTGTCCATTTACCAACCAAATAAATATTTGTTAATTTTCAAATCTGTTTTCTTCAAATTTAACCTAGCTTCACAGTTTAGCCATTACAGGTCTCTACCCTACATTTCAATACAGATAACGAATAACATCCAATTACCTCATGGCTGGTCGACATATGAAGTGCTTGCTTCTTGTAGCCTGTAGATTGACGTTGTGAAGTTTTCGCAACCGGTGATAGTAGCCAGAGGAAGGTCTGAGTGGTATCACCTCTTAGGGTGCCAGCTATGGTCAAATAGTTAACCCCGAAACTGGTGGATTTATGTAATAAAAATATCAGCAATACACGTGGGAAAAAAAAAAGATATCAGCAATATATTTGTGAAAAAAATACCACCAGTACATCTTTGAAAAAAATATTAACAGCAATAAAGTTTTGAAAAAATATTCCTATATATACGAACCTATCCTAAAATTCTTGTCGGCATTAAATAACCCACTCAGATTGATATGCTGTAAAACGAAATAGACCAAACCGGAGTAGGGTCTGGTTCATCAAAGCGAATGTCAGTTGTCTGAGAACTGACTTTACCGAAAGCGTTAATTTAAATCTACACTTTGTCGAATGGCCCCCTTTCACGGAAAAAACTAAACGGAGAAGGGAGATAACTGTTATATGAAAATGTCTTTTTTTTTCTTAAATTAGGTATCATTTAAAAATGACACTCGTTAATTTGAATTTTTAATCCTTTCACCGCGAGCTAGGCAATAAAGCCACTAAGACACAAGAGATTACTGGGTGTGAGTGAATATGAGACAAAAAAAAACATTATTAAGGAGGGAACAATAAAAGAACAGGAATTAAGATAACAGTAGATATCGATTGACATAAATTTTTGAAGATCAAAGTCGGAAGAGAGTTTCACAAGGGAGAAGTGTGAGAGAAGAAACTGTTAGCATAGAACTTACGGCACAGAGAAGCTACGTTACAGTGAGGGAAACTGAGATGCCAGGTCAGGACCAATAATATTTAATAATATTAAATAAATAAAAAAGAGTATTTGGAATTAATACAGAAGATATTGTATGACTAGTATTTAAATGACTTTGTTTTTGACAATTGTTTAAATATTCTCATTTCGCTTTGCCAAAACGCTTGTTGGGGTGCGTTCTTTAAGTCTATAAAAAGGTAATCATGTTTTTTCTCTTCCTCTTTTTAAGCCATGCTTTCAGATGCAGTCGGTGTAGATAAAGAAATGCACCGACAATGTGTGTTCGGTTCCTTGGTCCTTTGTTGAATTTTAAACATTTTCACCCACGCACATTTACACACTATCGCACACGCTTGTTTCACTCAAACAAGAACTAGTATTAATGTTTTTTTTTCAATTCATTACAAATGTGTACATATTTAATTCCTTTTGTCAATAACATGCATTATCGTTTGTTTTATATTCATTCTTCTGTTTTTATTCTTTTCACCTGGACTCACATTGAGTCCGCCAATTTGGGATTAATGTTCCAGAAACCCGTAAATATTTAATATGAAATGTCTGTATACACCAAAAACAAAGAGGTGATACCGGCAATATAATGGTGACTTATTTTGTTTTTTTTTTAATTCTTTGCTTCTTTTTTTTTAAGCAATTTGCCACAAGCAAGTCAGTAGTGATAATATCACGCATGTGTTTACAGAGAATGAAAGCAAGAGTAAAGAGGAGTGTTTAGGAAAAGGATAAAGAGTAGGACAGGGATCAAGGTCAAGGAATCAGGATATGTCGATTGACATTACATTTGAATATTTAAGGATTATAGCTATCAGGGAAACAAGTGATAGGAAAGGAGCTCCACTGATGGGAGGTGCAAGATAAGAAGCTGTTGGAGTAGAAGAGACGGCTACATTTAACCGTTTCGATAGTGAAAGGGTGGGACAGGGATGCCAACCTAGTAGCACGCTTAAATTCACGCACTTGGGGTACCAGTGAAAGTAACTCGTCGGAGCAGTTACCATGAAAATATATGTAGAAAAGACAGAGGGAAGCCACAGCACGTCTGTGAGATAGTGACTGCAGACGGGATGCCAGATCAGGACCAACCACATTGCATCTGAACATAATAGTACCCCACAATATGAATGATTAGCAGTAGAGCCCGGCGTTGCCCAGGGATGTAACAGTAAGAGATAGATCAAGTATCGACCATCATAAAGACTGAAAAATAAAATTGACAAAGATTATTGTTTAAGGTTGACGGACACGCATGTCTTAATTATTTTTATTTTTTTATTTTTTTACGAATTGGTCAAACCCAAACACAAACAAAAACATTGTTTTCAATCGTTATGAATCTACCGATTGAATAGAATTTTATTATAAACAATTGTCTTGTAAATGGAATTTTTAAAGCATTCTGAATGTAAAAATAAAGAAAAAAGTGTGCAAGACAATAAGAAACAGTACATGCCAAAAAAAGTGAAGTTTTGTTGAAATCGGTTGAAAAATGTAGGAAATTCGATCCCATATATAAACGAACACACACACACACACACACACACACACACACACACACACACACACACACACACACACACACACATATCCTGGGTTTTATAATAAGTATAACTCGATATGAGTTGTCTCCCTTTCATTCTCGCGACAGCGATGCCTCTTAATCGTGTTTTCAAATTGATTTAGTGCAAAAACAATTTTGTTTTTCCAATTTTTGGCGCTCTCAGAACTACCGCAAGGTAATTTTACGTAGTCCTGTGAAGTTCAGCTGAAATCGGTTGAAAAATGTAGGAAATCCGATCAAATATATAAACGTACACACACACACACACACACACACACAACTTGGGTTTTATAATAAGTATGATGACTTCAAGGATGAATTTATGAAGAAAAAAGTATACATTATCGCAAATAAGCAACCATATTTTTTCATTTTAAACGTTACATAATTAAAAAAAAAATTTATATATAAAAGTTTTTTAATTTTTTTAATTGGATTTTTTGGTGAAATGGAATTATTTGAATTGAATTCATTTCTAGGACTTACTTTAGGAAAATTACGTTTTTAAAAAATCGGTATCACCCCTTGCAAGGCAATAAAGCCACTAAGACACAGGAGATTCTGGAAGAATTAGGAACAGAAACATTAATAATGAGCTGTACGTGGAAAGGGAAATCTGGAGGACATTAGATAGCGATAGACATTGCATTTAAATTTTTTA